TATGCCCATTGCACTCTTCTTTTCCCTCTTAAATTTCAATAAGAAAGTCTAACAGACTTGTTTGACTTTACTCCTTGTGATATTGATTGCAGTGCTATAAACTGAATGACAGGATACTGCTGATGTTTATCTAAGAAAATTTAAACTTTTTTCATTTGCAAAATGTTTATTTTTAAAAGTGACTGACTGGTAGCTGTCTTCTGTCAAGTTGAAATTTAAAATAATTTAAAATTTTGAAAAGATCTTGTCTGAATCCTGTTTATTCAGTACATAAAAACAAGTTAACTGTTAAATTTTTTTTTTGTCTGGAATGAAAATGAACAGCATACTGAGTGATGTTCAGATACAAATTAGTTGCCTATTTTCATTATTTGAATGTTAGCTTAACCTATTTTAGCAAAACTTGTATTACCTCTATAGAGATGCAAAAGTGACCATCAGGATCTAGTTAAAGTTTCTAACATGCAATTGAAGTATTACTAAGAGAGTAAAATAAAGATAATTTACTAATGCCTCCCCTTTCTTGAAAGATTGAAAGCTAAAGTAAAGACACTGTAAGGCCTCAATTTCCTCATTTTTAAAAGAATGAATTCAAGTTCAAACGGTTCAATATTCTGCATTTTTTGCAACAGTGTAAGTTTTTACTATCTAATCAAGTACAAAAAGTTTGCCTTTCCCAAAATTGAATGTATTTAGTCAGGCCCTACGAAATCACACGGTTAAAAAAACTGCAAACTGCAGGATCTATGATTCTCATTTTGTAAGTGCTACCCTTCAGTCCTCCTGCTCTTGGCTCTGCAGCAGTGAGGGTTGGGAACTAGTGGGAAGGAAAATTACAGTTTCAGAGATCGCCAGGAACTGGAGCTTCAAGACGTGCAGCAAATACTTAAATGTAGAACAATACCATAAAGATTGAAAACATTGAGAAAGAATTTATAGTTCATCATACAATACTATGCTTTTTCTGCCAAGAGGTTTAGATATTGGGAGAGGAGCAGGTTTATTATTTTAAGATATTAATATGCTAAAAATCTCAGAAATAGGAGTCACTTACTGAAGTTGTGTTATATTGAGTTTGCTGTTTAATATAGGATCTGCAAACCATAAGAGAAATCTAAAAAGAAAGGATAATTGAAACAACCGTGCGGTTTATCTGAAAGAGAAGGTGCTGGTGCCAGTACGGCAGGGAAGGTGCGCATCCCCGTGGTTCTGGGGAAGAAGCACTTAATTGGAAAGCACAAGCAGAGAAATGAGGAAAAACACCTTAAGTCAAGGAAGCGGAGTGTGTAAAAACACAAGAAGGAAAATTAGATGATTGAACAATCTAGTATTCTGTACAAAAAGTTGCTACAGAGGTGTAAGGCAACTGAAAATGCGTATCATTTAAGAGCAATCAAGACCTCTGAAGATACTAAAGCTAGAAATTTTTTGGTGGGAAGAAACAATAGGACACTAAAATCTTGGTTGCAGTGCAGCTTGAATGCTTGAGTAGCATTGTTTGTAAAATCCAGTTCTGTAGGTTTTTAAGATTTTTTTATTTTTATTTTTTAAGCAGAATGAGGCTCACAATATCATTCAGTAACTTGTCCTGATCTACATCTGTAGAATGTTACAAAACCTTGCTCTGAATGATCTGGGAAGTCTGTTACTTTCTGATCATTACATCCAGTTCACTTGCTACTCATTTCATAACTTTTTTTTTCAGTAGCCACTGGTGAAAACCATTAGCATTGACAGCGAAAGTCACGGTGCTTCTTTTTCATTAGTACATAATGAGTTATTACCAAAAATGGTGATGATGTATAGACAAGAGAGAGATTTGGTGCCCTGCTAGCTTCCTATCTTTAGCTTCAATCTAACTCTTCTTTATTTATGTCCTTACGGTTTTCTTGATTTTGTGATTTTTGCATTTATGATTTTTAAATGCAAGTTAATTTTTTGCTTTTTTACAGATCTTAACAGTTGTATTACACATAGTGATAGGCAGCCTAAATTTAAAAGGAAGTTCTTAAATTGAAAAGATAGGAAATACCTAAAAACCTAAAGGAAAGCTGCCTTTGAACTGCATTCATGAGCAAAAAGAAATACTGCTTATCTTAAAGATGAACCAAAAGCTTAATTTCAAAGCAGATTGTTTCAGTAACCATTATTATTATTTATAATATGTATCAGTAACTCTTTGCTTTTTGTTAAGAAGTGACTGGATAGCATGGAAGATAAAAATTATTTGTGCCAGAAATTAAAGCTAGGATCCAGACCCTAATTTATAACAATGCACATCTTGATTCAGGAAAAATGTGGATTGATTTTTTTATTTAAAATAATTAAATAATCATGTTTATGAAGGCGTTTTCTGAGACAGTAATATGAAAAGATGCCGAGATCTGAAAAAGGAAAGTTTTAAAGAGACAGGTATGCCTGCTTTTACTTTCTGATTGTTATCTGATTCACCCTTTTTAATGACTAGGGTGGGTAACAGAGTGCAGAATATGATTGATTCTATTTAGTTCAATGACATCAACATCCAATTTTCTGTTTATCTCAATATACACAGGCATACTGAAAGAAACTGTTTTTTGTTGCCTTTGAAATATATTAATGGTAGCATTCTTAAAACACAGAGAATGCTTAGTTGTTTTGTGAGTTAGGAGAGATGTCAGCCATCAAGTGAAAAAAAACTATCTCTGCCAGCTTTGGGTCACACTGGGCAAGGGGACTTGTGTGTTACTGCTGAAGTTCTTTGTTGAAGAAATAGTGTGAAGAAGAAAACTTTTTTACAAACGTTGAAATTCATAATGGACGTTAGAAAACGGTAAGCAGCCATGGATAAGAAAAACAAAATAAACCCCAACATTTTTAAGTTTGCGGATTTTTTTTTTTAAGTCATAGGAATTGAGAATTCTTAAAAGTGTGAAGAGCTACTGCAAAGGTTTCAGTTTGGAAAAACATCTGGATAAAGACAACTAGTTTGTTTTGTACTATAATTATTCTGGTTTTAACAGTTAGTGAATTGTGGAAACTCCAAGATCCTTCAATTCATAATGCTATGTTTTCTCCTGCAAACTGATTATAGAAGCCTATGTTAAGCTAACGGTCTGGCAGAGACCAAGTATTACCCCTTCAGATCAAGCAGTTGGTGGCTGCTTTGAGTGTTACGGCTTTTGCGTTCAGCATGAGCAGGATTCCTCAGCTGCTTTCTTGCTGCCTTCCTCCCCACCCACCTCCCAGGCTCTGAGTCTTGGAATAATCATATATGAAGACTTTTGTTTAGATTGTTGGGTTTTTAATTTTTTTTTTTTTTTTTTTAATGGAAGAGGGCTCATGATATCACTCAGTAACTCTTCACTTGTGACTGCAGTAACTTGATCTGCTCCGTGGTGCCTTCCTCAGTTTAGGCACAGGGATTCTCTCCAGCTCTGACGAACATGAGACTGTTCTGAACTTGGGTGATGAGTGATCTCCTGCAGTTGCTTGAGACCTGAAGCCGGTCCTGAAAGTCAAGTGTGCACTTCAGTGTATTTCTGAAGCAGGATTTGTAAAATGTTGTAGGAACACAGGACAGGATGCAAATATCCTGTTTAGACTGGTTTGTCTGGCTGTGGGGACGGAAAGGGGACAGGACAAGCTTTTGGCCATGCAAACCTTTCTTTACCCTCACGTGTTTTTGTCTGAAAGCTCGTCTGCTATCTAGGGTTCAAAAAACTATCTCCATGCACATATTGTCCTGCCTCTGTCCTTAGATTGTCATGGTTTCAGTAACATGCCATCGGAGGAGCACAGAGATTTCTTAATCTTTGGAGCTACTTGAAGCTGGAAATGCTGACTAAAGCTCAATTTATTTCTTTTTTTATTTTAAGCTAAAAATTTGAGAAGGATTTACTGTCATCCAGCTTCCTTGATTTGAACTTTACTGCATGTGCTGTTCATCCAGTCTTCTCTGTGTCTCAGCTACCTGTTGACAGCACATGGGGTAACCAGCAAACTTAGTTCCCTCCCTCATCCTTGCGGATCCAGCAGGGAGAGCGCAGAGTGGAGGCAGAGGCAGCTTCAAGCCTGGTGTTTCAGTGGGTGTTGACAGCTTTCAGCATTGTCTAAACTGCAAGATCTACTGCATAGAAATTGATGGTGTGACCTGTAATACATGTGACCTTCGACAATGTTGCGTGTTGGCATGGTTGTTAAGAAATTTGAAATAATGAAATTGCTCCAAAAAAGAAATTAATTGATTAATGGTTCAATAGTTCTTTTAGTGTCTTTGATTAATCCAAACCTGTTCTTCCCTTGGTCTTACTGTTTGCTGTCATGTCCCAGCTGGAGTTAGGATAAAGTTAGCAATCTAGTCTCAAATTCTGTGTTTATGGTTTTTATGCACCTGACATACATGAATAGGCTTCCTTGTCAATGCTGTATGTAAACTCAGTTTTTGTCAACCCGAATGTGATGCATGCACAACTTTGTGAAAGTTTGTGCAGCTCTCCGAAGGTTTTATGATAAGAAAGGCTATTTCTGTATACCTTTTATAGGCACTGTTCAAGCAGTCGTGATGGGGAGGTGTCTTCTCAATTGCTGTTTTACTGTGGCATATTTCTAGATTTCTGCTGTGTGATGGTATCTGTTTCAGGCAACCAGCTCTTAGAATTCCTTTTTTGATAACCATAACTTGAGAAATGTATTATTTATTGCTCCTAGTTAGAGATTATTTTTTTAAAAAAAAGTTCATAAAAATTAGTTTTCCTAACTTCTCATTAGTGAACTGAAGCATTAATAATGTAAGCTAATAAATTACAGAAGAAATAATTATGCACTTTATCACAAAGTTCCAGCAGGCTTATGTGCTCTGTTTCATTATTCCATGCCAGAATGAAGTTTTTGTTCAAGCCTGAGTAGGAAGTAATATTATCAGCTTTTAATTTGGTCATGGAATGTAGTCTACGTAGATGTGTGCAGGGAAAAGCTTCCTTAATTTGAGCTTGGAAAGTAACACTTATTTTGTTTGGCAGACAAGATCATAGATGAAGGACATCTAACCAAAGTGGAAGAAACAAAGCTTTTGAAAGGTTAGATTTCTGGATTATTTAACTGGTTTTGAAGCATGTTTTTTATGTCACTTCAGTGCATGTTTTGTCTTAAACTAGCAGTTTGAGTTTTGTTGAATACTCACTTAACAAAAAAAAAAAAAGAAGGTATATTGCTTACTGAACTCTGCTCCAAATACTATTGTAGGGTAAAAAGATTTAAAGGAAACAATTTTTGAAGATTGAGTGCATGAAATGCTTGTCTCAGTTTTAACTGAGTTCTTACCTTAATGTACATTTAAAAAAAAAAGTTAAAATATAATATTTTTTGTAGATTGATTTAAATCTTTAGGACCTGCATGAGTTTTAAACAGGTTTCTGTTTTTATTACAGGACTAAATAGAAATAATGTTTGGTCTCATTCTAAGTTTTATTTAAAAGTGTATTTTAATTTGTCTGTTTTCTAACTTAAACCCTCATAACTTTAAAATAACTGTTAACCTCCTAAATGTACCGTTTCCAAGTAAAATGTAAATATGCATCTTGCCTTTTTTCTCTTATGTATAAAACAAAGAAATATGCAAGGATCTAATTATAAAAGATTTATCTTGTCAAGGAACAGTCAACCTTATCTTGCAGTGCCAAAATCAGGAATGCCACAAAGTGTGTATAGATCAATATTTCCTCTGTGTCTGATAACGTAAGATTGTTTGGACTTGTAGGCTGACTCCACTTTTGTGGCTTTTTATTTATGTCTAGACATACTAACTCATTTGTTTATCCTCTGTCCTTCTGCAAAGTGTTATTGTATTGAATAAATGTTAGCTTGTTAAAAGTTTTGGTATTTTAGAGACTTTTCAGTTTATCTTCTCTTGCCTTAATGTATGAAATTGCACCTTTAATTTGTTTCTGTATGTAAGCTATAGAGGACATGCCATATTTGGCAAAAGAATGCATACAATAACTGTAATGTAACACTTGCATGCCAGTTAATCTTGCAAAGCGTGAGCTATTTTTAGTGTTTGTTAATACATTCTAACTCATCAAGTAAGTATGATGTCAACACATTTTAATATAGTTCATCATTTTGGCTATATTTATTCAGCTCCGTTTTTATTATGGGAAATAGGAGCGACTGCTGTGAAGTAATATAGTACAGGAGAGAGTTTTGTGCTTGTGACTCTGGTTCCAGAATAGGAAGCAATTTCTAAACCATTTCTCTGACTTCTGCTGCTTCAGGTGTAGAAAATGATGCATCTTTGCTCTAGTGCCTAACCTTGGTCCTTGTTTCAGGGGGAGGAGGATAGGAGGGAGAAAAAGCTGGTGTCCCCGAGGGTGGGTGGGAGGGAGGTGGGGAGAGAGAGAGAATTCATTCAGCGGTTGGAACTCGCACTGTTCCTCCGGTTTCTCGCACAGCAGGAAAGCCGTGTTTCCACGTATGACCAGATATGGTAAAGTTAGTTGGATACAGATATTGCTCAGCTTAGCACTCCTGGATTGGCCACTCGTATAAACGGCATGGGTGAGGCTTTTAGGATATACTTTTCTTAATACTTTAAAAAAAGAATGTATTACTTGGTTTAGTAATTATTACCGTTTTAATGGCAATCTTGTGAGCTTGGTTCTATATGGTACATGTAAAATGCTTGGTATTTTAACATCTTTAGTTATTAGTTAAAAACCTTATTTATTATAGCGAAATACCCTTTTTGTTTTAGCAAAGAACCACCCCCAAACCTCAAGTTTTTAACTACTCCAGACATTATGAGCTTTGAACTCTGCTGAGGTCATGAGAGATGTGTTTGGAATAGCTGCCAGGTCCGAACCCCTAATGTGCTTTAAGTGTGCGGGTGCTTTGCTCTTCTCCCTCTCCAGTGATTTCAGTTACATTAAGATAGGCAGAGTCCAACTCTCGATCAGCTGCTTTGGTCGTACTTGCCTTCTTCTGTTTTATGTACAAGCGGATATTATTCTGGCACAGAAAAATAGAAAACTTTTCATGTTAGATGAAGAAAATTTTTTTTTTCCCTATTAACCTGTCTGTGGTTTGTCATCTTGCTGATTTCCCAGTGTAAGTCCACAGGTTGTCTTCAGTTTCTGCTTAACTTCTTTCATTTTGGGCTTGTTTAGTTCTGTTTGTTCTCTTGTTACTTGAAAAAACAAGCACACATGCTTTCTGATCACTCATTTTTTGTATATTGTATGTGCTGCACCCTGTTGGTATGACACACTTGATTTATTGCGTACATTTTTCTTCCCGTGTCCTGATACTTTTTTGTTGCATCTACAGTATCTATATGTGAACAAATTATTTTTGTTCATCATGCTTTTCTGCATATAGGGTAGAATTAAAGTCTGTATACTGGGAATGTTGTAATGATGCCTTTTTATATGTATATGTATATCTCCACTTGGAACTTGACTCAGAGGAAACCTCTATTAATATGTGGGTAGGCAGCAATGCTGTCAAGCCAAAGCTCTGCATAGTCAGCCGAGAAAGACTCTGTTATGTATACCCTCACTTGCATATCGGTGACATGGTTTCTCGCTGGCAAACTTAGTGGGTTTGGCCACACCAGAGATGTGTGCCTTTCTTTAATCGACACATCAGAAATAAACTGGAATGGTTATTGAAAAGAACTAAAAAAAACTATAGCCTCCCAGAGTGTTTATACTCTGAGTCAGGGCTACTGCTGTGTGGGAGAAGGATGCACTAGTATAACAAAGTCACCTCATCTTTTGAAAATGTCTGCTCCCTATGAAAAAATCTAGATCTGGTAAAAAAAAAAAAACAACCCAAACAAACCAACAACTCTGTGTGGCTTCACTAAGCTGCACATAGTAATGTGGTGGGATGTGTATGAACAGATATTTCATGAAAATATTTTTTTGTGGAAGGGACGTAGACTGCCTTCTGTTAATACAATTTGAACTGAAAATTCTTTCTAGAAATTAGTGTATTAATTTAAATGGCTGTGATTTTTTTTACTGGTTTATGCTACGCTTTTTTTAAAAAACAGTACAGTATATACAAGACTTGTTGCTATTATTTTATTTGTCCAAAATACTGAAGCGCAGTTTTATTCCTAACAGCAGATTCTTTCTGACTTGCTACAATGTCTGCATTGTTCTAGTTTTCTTTTCTTATTTGTTCCCCGATTGAATACGCTTTTACACGCAGTTCCAACTGGCAAGAATACAGCTGTAACAAAAGTTCAAGCTGTGCATGAGACAGTTGCATCTCCTATTAGATACTAGGCTAGACTAATGACTTCAGTGATACTGAATCGATTTTAGCCTAGACTTACAAATAAATAAGCAACCACCAGGTTTTTAAGTGTTTTTTTCGACTATGTTGTTTTCTATTGACATTTAGCAGTAGTTAAGTAAACAGATATATAGAAGAAATTTTGATTAAGAGACTGAATAAAGCATTTTCTGATTATAATTTATCTTCCTTGTCTCTTACAGAGAATCAAGCAAGAGTCAAAGAATCTGATTTGTCGGACACTCTTAGTCCAAGCAAGGAAAAAAGCAGCGACGACACTACAGGTAAGTGTTTCGCTGGGGTTTCTGCAACATCTAATTAGTTTGAATTAAATCACTCAATCACAGGCATTTTCTGAAAGAGCAGAGAGGGTGTGTATTATGCAGAGCCAGATCCAAGCTTAGAGCAGTATTGTCTATTTTGCAACTTCATTATTAACTGTTGTGAAGTGAGAAGAAGGTAAAAGCTTTCCTTTGCTTAAAGAATGCATATACGAAAGCTGTCTGCAGTTTACTGCTCTTTGAAAGGTGTGGTTGGTTTGGTTTTTTTTCAGATGCCCAAATGGATGAGCAAGATCTAAATGAACCTATCGCTAAGGTAGCTCTTCTAAAAGGTAAGCAAATTTATTTTTGTAATTTTAAATGCATAATCTGTAATTTTGTCTACCTGTGTTTTATCAAATGTGCAGTGGGGTGCTGAAATTCAAATGTTTTAACCATGACAGTATGGAAGAGTTGTATTCAAGTATCAATAATGATTCCTTTGAGCGATGTGATATAAAAGCATACTTATGAGTGTTAGTACAGAAATAATTTGTTCGTAAAGCTAGTTTCTGCACTCACCAACACTGTGCTAGGAATTTACATGTTGTAACTTCAAGTAGAGTTGAGAAATAGTTTCAGCATACACTTAAGTTAGGGCTAATAGCTGTGGGGAGGAAGGTTTCTTCCATCACTGACGTGTTCTAAACATTGCTGAATTTTACTTTTATAGTTTCCATCACTGTGAGAAATGCTTCTGTTAGTTTGCACCTGGTGGGTTAAAAAGAAAATCTAAAATCTTTGTTTGGTTAACAGACTTGAGATTTGGATTTCCTGTTGTGACTGCATTTGGAATGATTGCTGAGCCGTAGTTTTAAGCTTCATAGTTGTAAAATTATTTTTTTTTATTGCTCTTTGCACTGAAGGCATGTACTTAAATCTTGGTTAGCGAACTAATATTTACATGTTCAGGAGCTGAAATTTTGTGGGATATTAATTAGTTGATGCATTTAGCGTACTGAAGGTAACTTTATGCTTTATGTACAATTAGACATTTGGTAAGATCTGTAAACTGATGCTTATGCTGGGATCACAAGTAAGAAGAATGTCACAGTTCTTCATGGTTCAGAAAGACAGGAAACCAAAATGAAATTTAAGAGGCCTGTAAAGAGCTTTTTTTTGTGATTGTTTACAGTTCCCTAATTTTATGACGGAAGGCCTTCCAAAAATTGCATGTATTATATATATGTTTTCAAACAGCAGAACTAAAACTTAATTTTATATTTTCCAGTGGATATTGGTTCAGCAAAGTAGTTTAAAGAGGAGTGTTTGAGATAATAAGCATGTTCCATTTGGGTTTTGCTCTAATGTCTGCAATTAATAACAAGTATATTCAGTGACTTCCTACGTTAGAAGGTAGAACTTGGTTGTTCATAGTGATTGTGGTAGTCTTAATTTTGGTAATAAATTTAGGGTTGGCAGCAAGTTTTATTTGAAAAAAAAAATAGTTGAAAAGCATGGTGTTCTATCAGAACTTTCAGTGCAGAATGGGATACACATTAAAGGAGTTTGTTTCCTGTGAGCATTGTTATAGGCATGGAATTCACAGCTGGAAAAACCCTTTGTATGTAAACAGTACAGTAGAGAAACTGAATTCAGCCAGCTCATGTCAAAATTACTTTAATTCTAATTCTTCTAGTTTTAAGATAGCCAACTGAAGACTACTAATTGGCTGCATTTCTTAGTTATCTTCTGCAGACACATTAAAAGTAGTCTGTGGACCCTCAGGCTGAAACCCACTGATTCCTGCATTTTCTTTACATGCAAGTGAAGTCTTCCTAAGTTCTGTCGGAAAGGTTCATTTAACAGCCCAAAACCAAGGGAAGGCTGCTGTGAGCACGCTGCTTCCTGGGTTAGAACAATCTCATGGCAGGTGTAGTTACACTTTCTCTGTCCAGGGTTTATTAAACTGGCAGGGAGAGTTAACTGAACTCTTGAAGGACTAAAATCAAGTTTTCTGTAAAACTTTAAACCATAACCGTTACTGAACTTTTAAGTGAATAAGTAGAAAAATACGTATTTGCATAGACCGCTTTGCTATTGAGTTGCATGCTGCAATTAACTACAATAAATTGAATAACTCTCTTTCTCTTGGGGCTAGTTATGGACATTCCTATTTTGTTCTCATGAAATCATTAAAAAAAGGTCTGTACAATGAATCATTTGCCCTCATAATTTTTATGAAGAGCCTGTAAACCTGCAGTTTTGTTTTAGGTTTTGTCAGAGAGCTACTTCATATGCCTGACTTTGCCCTAAAAAGGATCTTATTTGCCACAGAAAGACTTTCAAGTGGATTTGTTATGCAGTCATATAATTAAGGAAGAGTGAGAACATTTTTGATCTGGCAGCTGTTTGGAATGCGGAAACAGCTGCTGTAAAAGGCAGCATTCCTTTTTGTTTAACTGTTGGGATTTAGAAAACAGATTAATGGAACAAGAAAACGATGAGACATTTAATTGCTGTCCTCCAAGTGTATTTTCCACCAATAAACTTTGCATTCAGAATTTGTTTCAAGTTTGTACAAGTTGGAATTTGGCAAAGAGGAGATGGGGGGAAAAGCTCTCACAGATTAGTAGAGCTGCCTTTTTTTTTTTTCTCCCTACAAGGTAAACGACTTTATTAGCTGTTAATAACAGTTCCCTTGATGCTTCTATTTAGACTGTTTGTGACTAGTTATTGCAAAGTTAAAAACAGGTACATGTTAAACAGATGGAAAGAAGCAATAAATATCAGTGGAAAGTTAGTGATTTTGTTCTTATCAACTTCCTTATGTTTTCGTAGTAACTACAAGAGTGGTCCACGGAATCTTATTACAAATTGTTTTCAGTTGAGAGTTTGCTGAATAGTGGTAGTTTTACATAAGAAATTTTGAAAATCAGCAACGGTCAATTGATTCATAAAGTTTGGGAACTGTTGTTTTATGTTGCAATAGCCTAATACTTTATTTTAAATATACGATAAAGTTTACTTTGCGTGGATCTTAAGAAGCTGAAGAAAACTCAGGATTTTAATTGTATATCTGACTTTTCCTGAGTATTCTGAAAATAGTCATGTGAGTAATATGAGAAATCCTGCAAAATTCTGAAGGTGAAATACTGTGAGTCTTGGAGAAATACCAGCCTGCTCATAAAGTTGCTTTCATGGGCCAGACACATACAGATAAGGGATCAATTAAGACCACAGCCTATATGTAGTTCTATATCATCTCTATTACCAAAACAAACATGTGAAGGCAAACATATAAGCACAGCTCTCTTAGCATCTTCATGTTTGGAAATATTAATTCAATCTGTGCTTTGTTTTTCTTTTGGTTTTATTGAAATTTTATTTTATAGATGCTAAAATTGCAAAATATTCCTTCACACACCATCATATTCTTTAATGAACTGACCCATGGGTTCGATTCCTTTTCTTGGGCCACACCGAAGGAGAAGAAATTTTTGTGTGCTTTGGGAATGATTTGTACAGATCACACAATTTTTTCTGACAATTTTAAATCTACCTGTAGATACAATGTTAAGAGAAGCCTCACTCTGTGTGTCCTCAATTGCATTTGAGTAGGAAAGAGTTTTTACCTTGACAGAGATTGTGCCCTTGCTAAACTGATTATCTTGTCCCCTAAGTTGAGTTCCTCATCTCCTTTGAAGCAGTGTTATCTTTTATGATGTGGGCTTTCATTGATTGGAAAATACTCTCCATTAGAAAGTGTGTCTGTTGTTGGACTTGAGACACTGCTTCTTTATCAGGCATGATTTGAGCATAATTTGTCAACTTTCTCATCCATTTCTTCTGAACAGTCTCATTAAGGAGGATTGAAAGTCTAATTGCCCCAAGTCTTCATCCATGAGAAGCTAAGAACAAAACATGTTCAGTAAAGTGAAACTTGGATTTGAAACTCTAATAAACTATAAAAGAAAGTATTTGAATTAAATACGTAGTCTCCTCTGTTCTTTCTGCTCTCATAATTTTGTTCTGAAAGTCTAAAGGCATGTGTGCCCTCAGCTTTTCTCGATCCCACCAATTCATTACTGTGAGAATAGGAAAAACAGCCTCTTTTCTTAGAGGGGTACAGTATGAATATGTTAGCATGATTTGATAAACAATTATTTTAATGAGGAAAACAGCAAAAAAAAATTGTGCAATTACTTTATTGACACATACAGTCAAATATTAATGTCAACAGTATAATGACAAACTAAACTATAGCTTGTATTTATTAGTGAAAGATCCAGATAACAAAAGTAATTTATTTTGAAGGGGTTTTATTCTAAGCATTGTGTCTTTATCTTAAATCTAGATGGTCTACAGTGGTAGACGTTTGTAAATCAGTTAGCTGTGTAACACACACATCTACCTTTTTGTTCTCCCTCTCCCATGATGTACAGCTGGACTTTTTTCACTCATTTCCCTCCTTGACCTTTCTCGCCTAACAGGCTATATATAAAATTTTAGCCCTCTACCTATATAGTTTATTAGTGCTGTTTGTGCCTAGTGAAAGATCTGTTTCCGCACAGACACTACTTAAGGAAAATTTAGTGAATGAGAGTTTCCTGGATCCAGTTCCTGGCGTTGCAGATGCCTGCAGGCTAGAGTGTTGTCTTCCTCTTTGTTACTGCATCTGGTTTCTAGTGTGTGCCCATTAAAGGACACTGCTATTAGTTACAAATATTTATTTTCCCTCTATTAAATTCCCCCGAAACTTCAGCTTTAAAACTATTTAATTTGTCTGTGACTGCAAATCATCTCTTGTAAGTCCAAGAGGTGTTTAATATATGTTTTAGCTAATAGGAAACTTTTGGGAAGAGCAAATGTTTTTGTTTAGAGTTTAAATAACATGCGTAGATACCTGATCATATTAAAGATGTACCTAATATTTTAAGACATCGTGAAAAGAAAGCTAAGGGCAAAATTTAGCTTAATATTCACTAGGCCACTGAATAAAATAAGGAGGGTGGACTTTTCCTGATTTTCTTAGTTTTCTTTTAGAAAATTTCCCTGATGTTTTCCTTTCCTTGTAGTTATGGTCCAGAGGGAGAGGGGGAAGCCAAGCCTTGCCTGGCAGCAAGCCGATTGGCAGTAGCAAACTTGCACTTAATAGCAACCTTCAGCACGCTCCCTTGGAGCTGGCTGGCGTCGCGCAGCCGCAGGGCTGGGGCGGTACGTGGCGGGTGTGCTGCCTGCCAGGGCTGGCGCTGCTGTCAGGAGCCCGTCTGCAGGAGGGTGGGCTTGGGAGGCAGGGGATGGAGGATGGTTGCCAAGTGTGTGCCAGGAGAGAGGGTTAGCGTAGTTTCCTTTTAAAAAGAGACAAGTTGTAAACAGTCTTATGCTTGTTGTTCCTTCATTTTTGTCAGTCCAGGAATCCTTGCTAATCTTTACAGTGTTTTTAAAAATGCTAATTCTTGTTTGTTATTTTTTGGTTTATACTGCATTTTATGTGTATATATATATATATATATATATAA